TGTGGTTGTTGAGGTACTGGTCCTGCTTGCTGCTGAGATAATGTCGATGGCTGATGGCCCATCATCAGTGTTGCTGTTGAGTCATCTGCGGCGGTTTCTGGAGGTGGCCGCAGCGGCAGGGGTGGAAGACTACCATAATCATATGAGTCCACAATTCGACCTGGTGGCTGCAAATACTGCTGAGAGGATGTCTTAGGAAGTGAATGGTACAGAAAATAAGAGTTGGAAACATGACCTTCGATTGATGGCTGTCGCACCACATGGGGTTGGTATTGGTTGTTTTGAGGAGGATTAGGTTGTTGTGCCGGCATGAAAATGGTCTGATCAGAAACGGGTTTCGACATTGGAGTACTGAAAACTGACGTGAAAGAAGTTGAGGATGTTGAAGACTTCACAAGCCCAGCATTTTTGGCTTCTTCAGCAGCAAATGTAGCAAGGACACAGGTCATAATATATTGGGACGAGCTCGAAGCAGCTAGCTTGTCTACAACTTCAGCAGCAATAGCCGCAGCAGACTTTTTTGTTGATTGTGCTGGTTGTATATTTGTAACAGTTGATGACATTGATGCTTTTAAATCTGTTACATGGTCTTCATTCAAACGTTTCGGCATATTTGCAGGTTCTTCTGCCTGTGCCTGTGCTACCTGAAACTTGATAAGATCCATAGATGTTAGCATAATTTAGAGTTGATCAATTCATTGTTCCTGATATCAAATTATAATCGACTAAATTCTAGTCCAAGATTGCTATTAAGTTTCAAAGGGTACAAAATATAAACCGACACGAGGTAGATAAATTTCTGCATTTGTTAAAAGGAATTATAATGCGAATAATAGAACCAGCCATGGCTACTATGTTGGGTTTTTATACCCAATAAATCTCGGGCAATGATGTTAAACAGTTTGGATTATATTTCATAGATCTTGGCCGATGAGTGAAATAACTATCAACACAATCAATTTATAGGCTCAACCCAAAAACAACTTGGGTCATTGGAAGCAACTTAATTAGTTAATGTTGTTCATTGCCACTATAACTCTTGGATGGTCATTTTAATGTGTGGCCCAGTGATCTTAGTTTTGACCCATTTGTTAGATGATATTGGCCCAAGTCTTGGTAACCTGAACTTACCTATATATACCCATTTTCTTATTGTGTTGGAAATGTGTGTGCTTTGCGAATGTTGAAGAGAAAAACCGTGGTTGCTTCTTTCTCCTCCTTCGTGCCTTGTCTTCTCTCTGCCTTTGTGGTGGTGTTCGTTTTCTTTAGATAGTTTCCTCTAGATGACAAGACAGACCATGTGGTGGTGTTCGTTTTCATTTTTGAGTGCTACGGTGAAATTTGGACAATTTTGCCCTTCCGCGTTCGAGATTTGACTTTTGCTCAATTGGTTGCTGCAATTCCTGAAAACTTTATGGCAAATAGTGATGGCCCTAAAGCGGTAAATTCGCATCTCTCATTATTTACGGGCTCAGATTGGTCCGCTCTATATATTGGCTTATCCTAAATTTAAATTTCCACATTAGCAGGTCATCTTGTGGGGTGACAATAGGATTATGGTTACCGTGTTGGGTAACCATTGCTTGTGCTAGAAATTTATGAATTATTTTCCATATTTGAATAGTTGGATTTAACTGCAAGTTGATAATTACTTATGTGTTTAATTGCATGTATTGCGTGAGAATTTGAATTTTTGTTGACATACCATCATGTTGCATTGATTATTTTGTTAAAATACCTAGACTTGACCCGTTTGAACATTCCATTGATCTGGAATCTTGAGTCTCACGAAACCCTGGAAATCTAGAACGGTGTATGTTGTTGCTTTAGGATTACTTTGTGTGACTTATATGTGCAATTTTGTTGTTCTATTTTTCAAAATGTCTTCACATTTCGAAGTTAGAATTTTCAATGGGAAATGGGATTTTTCAATTTTACAACAAAAGATGGAAAGGATTTTAGTTCAACAAAAGGTTTCAAAAGTCATAGATGGAAAATTTTCTACAAATTTGACATAAGTACAAAAAGAAGAATGTGATGAACTTGCTTACACTTCAATTATTTTACACATATCTGACATTGTTTTGAGAAAAGTTGGAAAACTTGATTCTACGAAAGAACTTTGACAAAAGTTGGAGGACTTATATTTGCTTAAATCTACTCCTAATAAGTTGTACTTGTTTGAAA